GATGGATGTGGTAAAGTTCTTTGCACGAGGTTGAGAATACAGGATGTTGGGACTGGGTGAACCTAGATTCACATCCCTGTTTGGACTTCTGCTGTTTATGAGAAGTTGCCATACAGTTTTAATCTTTCCGAACTTCAGTTAGCAGTAAAGAAAAGATAATACTAATATCTTCCTCCTAGGTTTTAAGTAGTAAATTTTATAATCATGTTTTTCCCATAGGAAACTCAAGAAATAGCAGAAAATTGTTTCTATCTCAGTGGTGTGGTGCCTGGCTCGCAAGTGCAAGGTCCTGAATTCAATCCCCAGTACTCCCCCTAAAAAAACAGCTTTTAAACCTGGGTTATTTAAGGAGTTTTGCATACCAAAGTATCTGGATTAGAGAGCAACCATAAATAAGAGAACATAATAATACCACCCAGCTTGATTAAAAACTTGTCTTTAAAACTACTGTACACGTTTAATAAGTTGCTATTTGTTTATCTTTGTTTTAAATTGTTTAGAAGACAAATGTCATGAGGAGATTCTTTACCACAAGGCAATTATGTAAGAGTAATTGTTAGTAGTTGTATTTTTCTGCAAGAGACAGAAGTGGATCAAGAGTTTTGGAACCAAAAGCTGATGATGTTTTGGATACACACTTCGTTTTGTGAGGCACTTTCTCAGAGGGACACAGACACTGAATTTCTTTTAATTGCAGGAGCAGAGGAAACACAACCATTGAGGGACTGACTCCCCGAGGCCTTGAGAGATAAAAGGCAGGCCTTCAGGTTCCGTAAAGCTGATTACTGTTACTGTTTCCTAAAGTTTATTGCTGACAAAGAAGCAGCTCTAACTCTTAGCATGTGCCTTGTGTTAATGGTAATACGAAGTAGTTATGTATTCCCATCAGACTGGTTGGGTGCTTACCTTTTTGGACTTAAAATTTGTGAGACCACGTGGGCATATAAAGAGTACCTGCAGCCAGTGAAATTCCAAAATCCATGCCTCAGTAGAATTCAGAAGGAACAGTGACTAAGCTACATGCAAATTGAATAAACTCAACAAAAAAGTTATGTATTGGTTTAAAAAATTAAAGTAAGGATTATTAAAAATATCTAAAATGGAGTGATCTTTAAAGATGATAATGTTGAAGAATATATAGGAACACACAAAGCAAATATATACTCTATTTTTATGCACACATGTATATATGACATGATATAATTTATATGTATGTAACATTTATCCCTTATGCAATATAGCAACAGCTCATTAGTAGTGGAAAAGTTTCTTAAAAGATGACTGACTCTATTAAAAAATTCTTTGTGACAAGTATGTAATATATGTCTCAAAGAATTTGACATTAAGTAGATAAAATGTACACAATAATATGAAAATTTGAAAAATAATATTATAAAGGATTCCTCAGCCACACTGGTTAGGTTTGATCCCTCTCCCACTATCCTCTGTCTGGATGCTCTTGAATAACTTCACTTCTGTATGTTTCACTTTTCTTGTTTGTGGAAAATGATATCACATTCATCAGAATGTTATGAGGGTTGAATGCCTGTACTACTAATGCAATGTATTGTTTTATATATGCTTCAAGCACAATCTGGCATATGTTTTGTGCCATAGAATTTATCATCAATATGATTATAATCACAGCTATTATATCATTCCATAGAAAAGCATGAATGAATTAAGCTAATCCAGATAGGTCTAAAATACAATAAAATGACTAACAATCACAGAAGAAATTGGATAAGTAGTTTTTAAAGTTCCACTAAACTCAATAATAAAAATAAGAGCAACAACAAAAATTGCATTTTGGTAGAATAATAGTCTTGTCAGTTTTTGTTCTTCCAAAGCTGGGCAGAGAATCTTCTCATTATTTAATTTTTGAAAACATCAACTTTATTAAGGAATACCGTACATGAAATTGAATATACCCACTTGTATAGTTGAACAAGCTTTGTCTAATCAATGTCTCCCTGTCATCACTGCCAACATCTAAAGCAGGGTATTTTCATTATCCTAACTAAACATTCCCCAATGCCAATTTAAAATTAATCTCCTACCTCAGCTCCAAGGAAATTACCTCTGTTTTCTGTAAGTATAGATTTGTTTTGCATTTTTTTGAATATTTTTCTTTTAGCATGATATATTTGGAATTAATCCAAGTTGTATCAGTAATTTATGTCTTGCTAAGTAATATTACAATTATGAATGCACTATAATTTGTTTATCCATTAACCTGTTGGTGGATATTAGCATTATTTCAAACTTTTGGCTATTATGAAAAATGTGCTATGAAATCTTCCTTGAAAATCTTTGTGTGCACATGTGCTTTCATTTATTTTAGGAAAATGTATGAGTGGATTTGTGTGTAATATTCCCAAACTTCCAAATTGATTTTTAAAATAATTATAATACTGTTCCAATGAGCAAGGATATAAAAGTTACATTTTCCTCCTGTCCTCAAAACCTTTCAATATTTTTGTTGTTCTTAATTTTGATGTGTAGTGGTATCAGGTGATAATGATTTACATTTTCTATTGGATAATGATTTTGAGCACCTTTTTTTGCTTAAATGTTTGTACAGTATTTTAGTAAAATGTCTCTTTACATTTTTGTTCATTTTTAACTGGTTATCTTCTTGCTGTTGAGGGAGAAAAGTTCTTAATGGCTATTTCAAAGAACAGTTATTTTTTAACTTTCCTTAAATCCAGTGTATCCACTTTATTTTTAAGTTTTATATGAATCCTAAGAAATTATTGCTTTGTTATATATTTTCTTCTAGGGTCCTAGATAGTTTAAAGCTTTGCCTCTGGTTTTTAATCTATTTCAAATTAATTTTGTGTGTATGTGTGAAGTAAATATTAAGGTTAGCTTTTGAAAGTGGATATCTTTTTTCAAGCACCTTTTCTTCAATTGTTATGCTTTTATCATTGAATTATCTTTATATATTTGTCTAAAATAAATTGACCATGTATATGAGGATCTATTTTTGAAACTCCAGTTATGTTCTGTTGATCTCTTTTGCCAGTACTAAATTGCTGTGATCACATTAGGTTGGTCATAATTTGTATAATCAGAGAATCAGTTCTTCAGCTTTGCTGTTTATCATTTTGATTTTACTTTACTTGATTATTTTCAATTACATATAAATATTTATATAACCTGACAATTTCCCAAAGAAAATCTGCTAAAGTTTCATTGGAAGATAACCAACCTCTTAATATATTGAGTTTTCTAATCCATGGACATGGTATAGTTCTTCACTTATTTGAATTTTATTTTATTTTTCCTCCGAGTTGTAACTTTTAGAGTTTAGAACTTAGAATCTAGACCTTTCATGTTTTTCAGTGTTTAAAATTGAGTGAAATGAGAAGATACAAATAAAAGGATACAAGAAAGAAAAACAGGAAGCTAAATAAAAGCAATTCATAAAGGAAGAATAATTGATAACCCATGCTAATTGCTACTGTTTAATCAAGTAAAATGAGAACTGAGAGTTCACATTGGATTTGTCAATATACGATTCATTGTTGACCATGACAGGAGATATTAATATGGGACATTCGAAATGAAAGAGTAACCAGACCAGACTGAAGAAAGGATGAGAAAGGATGAATTGAAGACAATGAGCATGGACAATTTTTTAAAATAATATTGCAACAGCAAGCAGAGAATGGAGCAGGAGCTAGGGGGAAATGTGAAGTCAAAAACATTGATTACTAAGATTGGCAAAATAGCTGCCGATCTCTAAGGTACAACACTACAGGAGAGAGGAAAGGCTAATGATTCTGAAAAGAGGGACAAGTTGCTGGCACAGTCCCTGGCTAAAGTAACAGAGGGCAATATGGAGAGTAAGATGGAGGATGTGGCCTGAGGAAGGAGTGTGGTTCACCCTGAGAAGCAAGATTGAAGCACAGGGGCTGATACATGACTATAGATGCAGTGTTAGGCATTTAATAAGAGTCTTTTCTGATTTTTATTTCTTTCTTAGTAAAGTAGGAAGCAAAGCAATTAGAAATCCTTGAATATGGAACAGAGTCGTGGGCATTTGAACAACGGAATATCTTTTAAGTTGAGTGAATTCCTCTTCATGGAAAAAAAAAATTCATTACATCATGATTATTTTTCTCAGATCCACACAGAAGAAATTCCTGTTAGCAGTTTCACACATTAAAAAAATGTCTAAAGAGTGAGAGATACCTGTAGGTTAAAAAATAGAGATTCAATTAAGACAAATATCATTCCTATAAAATTGTACATGTAATTTTTATCTATTCATCAGTTGGAGAAAAGAATAAGAGTATGTAAACTTTTTTAGTTTACATACTTTCAGGAAGCATCATTTCCTCTCTGAAGCCTCTGATGATGGTGGCTAGTCATTGAGGGGTGATGACGTTGGACTGACAGAAGTATATCCTTCAAAGAAATCGATAGAATGTCATAAATTGTAGTCATACAAGCCTTCTTGTTGGTCACATGAAAGCAAACTGAGACCACAAGAGATCTTTTCATGTGCCTGTATTTGACTGGGGAATTTCATTTTCCCAGTTTCCACTTACTATAAGATATTAGGAATATAATTTATTTTTATGTTAGCATTAGTAACTGCAAGCTAGCATTCTATTCTCATTTTGTAGCCATGTCTGTATGTGTTAGTATTACTGTATGCATGCATATACTTTTCATGTCACTTAGCTTTTATTTTCCAAGCAGTTAGTTCCTTTAAAAATGAATGACAGGTATAAAATATATTAAAAACTTTAGCCAAAGTGCTCTGTGTGAAACACAAAGAACATTCTTTTTTTTTTTTACAGAGATCTTATACAAACACATATACACTTGTTCTCCACCTCCCAAGATTATGTTATGAGAGCAGCAGTGCTTGTTTTGACTTCTTTTAGTTCACTTTCCTTATATATTTTCATGTCTTTAAGAAGTCTTGGGCACATATTTAAAAAATATAATTGAGAAAGGTTTTAGTGATAGTGCCTATGATCCTTTGATTTTATTTCCCTTTTCTTTTCACTCTAACTAGTAGCAGGAGCTACTGCCATGCTTCAGAAAGATTATGTTTGAATACAGACTAAATCAGCGCAGACCCTTGACTGGCTTAATCTTTGCTTGCAAATGACAATGCAGTGAAACCAAAGGGGAAAAAAATTACTTCTTTTCCTGTTGGAAACCTAATAAGTAGTTAGTCTGACCCAGTTTTCAATAAGAGAGATTTTCTGATGACCCGACAGTAGTGACTATCTGTAGTCAAAGAAAGGAGGATGAATTTAATCTTTCATGCCACTGGAATGGCAGCTGCTCTCAGTGCTCTCTGATTCTGTGAAGGATGATGAAGATAGAGCTGGCTTTCAATGTGGGGAGAATTTTCCTTTTGAATATTCCAAACGGGAGCTTTGCACATGTGCCTCAAGAACTAATTGTCTAGGTTCCGTCAGGAATGCAGCAGGAGAGGAGCGTATTTCATGCTTAAGACCAGAGAGGAGCCACGCAGTACTCAGTGGATAACAGGCTTGCAGTCCCAGCTGGGAAAAAAGAGTCCCATTATCTCCCAGCTGCATAGACATTCCATACGGCTTGGTTCTGCCTGGATGCACGGCATGCCTGGCTGAGGGCTTGAAACAGAGTTCTGCAGAAAAATTGTAAAGATCCTGAGACATTTCCCTGGTTAAGATCTGTAAGTACAAAATTGCACTGTCTGCTGCAATGAGAATATTGCTGGGCAAGCTGCTGCTTTTCTTCCTTTCGTGTCTTTGTATTAGCATAACAGGTAAAAGCTGGGGTTGGGGGAGAAGTGACTGCTTTATTGATGCTGTGTTTCTATGGTGCTGATGCTTAAAATGCATTTATTCCTTGTGAGGAAAAAAATGTATTGAATCTGTATTCAGGGGAGGTTAGGATCAAACCAGGGAAAGAGAGACTACAGGTATATTTTTTCAGTGTTTCACTAGTCTTTGCTGCAGTAAAACTAATAGGCAAGATGGGATGACAGTGCTTATTCTGGTACTTTCAGATTGCTACACGCCCTTTTTGTAACAGCAGATGGGAAAATGTGATTGTTAATTTTTTCCCATCAAAGGGTTGATGGGTACATTTTGATGCAGTGTCCAAGGATAATTTAAAGGCATGATTATAAAAAGTTTCCTGGGGGAGGGTTTTGATAAAGGAAGAAAGCAGGATTGGAGGTCAGATGGGCTCACCAAATTTTGTATGGCATTAGCTTTTTATCCTACTTTAAGATAATAGCTTCTGGAGTCTCCTGAGCCATTTGCACTAGTTAAGCTTGTCAATATAAGGTTCTTACAATACTTTATGAAAAGTTTCAGAAGTTGATGACTTCGGAACAAAACTTTTAAGAGTTCTGAAACTAGCCATGTATATATTACCCATTATGTTAATAGGGTACTGTAACATGGGGGTTGAGAGAAAATTGGAATTCAAAGTTCTTGCTTCTTTAAATGAAAATTACTTAGGTTTAAATAATCAGCATCCTGTCTCTGTCTTCTGAGAAACATTCACAGAATGACTAAATAGAAGTATATTGAGAAAAAATAGAAAGAACAGTAGAATTACACAAAATCAATTTGGTAAATGAGATATTCATAATTATATTCTATACTGACGATGCTTCTCAAAGATATTTGAAAAAAGTGCCATATGTTGAATATTGAACTGCTTGTTTTGAGCAATTTTCATTTATCTGATGGATTTGTTTATCATCTTTTAAGTTGTTGAAGGTTTCACCAATTTTTGTGTGCTATTTTGTAATGAGAGAAGATAGTTAAGCATCTCTCTTCTGTCCCTCTTCCCTCACATACAAATGAAAATATATCCATTTTCAAAAAACAAGCATATACACACTAAAAATATTGGTACAGTTTGTATAGTAAATACTGAGTCATTTTATCTTTGATGCTTCAGTAATTTCTTTTCTTTTTATTAGCAATAATCATGGCTGTACAGTCTAAAGATTTCAAATACAACAACTTTTATATTGGGTTTCATATGAGGTTATATAAATGCATAACATCACATCGTAGCACAAATGCTCATCATTTTTAAACAACTGCATTGCATTACTTCCTCTGAACATTCTAGGGAAGTACTAGAATATCTTTTTAAGAATTTCCATGTAACTTTCTTTATATAAATTCACTTGGTCTTTTAGAAAATGATTATTATATTTGATCTGATCTTAGATTTTAAAAAATCAAGTTGCAAAAATAATTTGAGGTATATAAAGTTGATTGCATACTTCAATTTTTCTATTATACTTAATAGTATAAACATACATTTGTACCTTTTAAATTCTTCTATAAGAGAAAATGGTCTATGAAATATTTGATAATTTATTTAGTTATGTATTTATATTAACAGCATAGTAATTAAAATGGAGCAGCATAATGTATACTTTTTAAAAATAATTCAAGTTAAACATAAAACTTTAAAAAGAAATCTTATCATCTATAAATAACAATCATGAGATTTGGAGATTATCCTCATGGCTAAATTTAGATAATAAGATAATTTAGGGAGGGTGGAAGAGGAAGAGAAGGGAGGGTTGTTTTTGTAGGAATAATTTCTTAAAATCATCCTTTGTTAAAATAAGAAGTGTTTGGAAATACAATAACATGATCTGCAAGAATGGTATCTTTTTTATTTTATTAAACTAGGAAGAATGAAGCTGAATGGAACTGAAGAAATTGCTACATTTTACTTCCAAAAATATAATGTTATAACTAAACACACAAACTATGCACACATTAATAGTTTGGAGTCTTTTCTTAGGATAGTTGTTTAAGTGTTAAACAGCCCTTTCAAGTCCTTGTTACAATGGTAAGATGAATTAGCATATGTATTTTATGGTTGTCAACACTACTCATACCTCCTGAATATAAACTCTATTATCAGTTGTACGTTACTGAGATTTATTGTATTTAGGTTGCAGCTCAATGTCCGTGGTCTTAGTTTAGATTCACTTCAAATTTGAAAGAATTCATTCCTGAGCAACAAATGTTTATTCACCATTATGTTTTAGGTTGTTGGATTTCACTTGTTAGTGTTGTATCCTTGCATCAAATATATAATCGTAGATGGTATATTTTCTATTCACCTGAATATTTTTTACCTGAAACATTAGTTACCTTTTTAAAATCACATTTATGTTTTCTTTCAGAAATATATACCTATTTATAAACATTACTGAGGAATCTTGAAAGTACTGTATTGCCATATTGAAAGTACTGTAGTTGTGCTGAAGTTTTAGATACACCTAAAATTCTCACTTTTGATTTTGACTTGCCTTTTTCTGTTGGATGTCCACATAACACTTAACTTTCTTTGTTTTGTTTTGTTTTTTATTGTCACACTATGTTCCACAGTTGCTCAGTCTTCCTTAAATTTTCTTGATGTTTACTGTATTTATTTATGATTCTTTTACATAAGGACTTTTTTCGTGTTTTTTGTGTTACATTGTTTCTTTAGTATGGATTTCCCAGCCCTCTAGAATTTTGGCCGTTTGTTCCACTACTTCTTTCTTTTCTTCAGGATCACCAATTATGAACATGTTGGATCTCATTTGTTTATCTTCCATATCTGTCATACTGTCCAAACTTGTTTTCAATTTTGTACTTTTTAGTTAGTTCAGTTTTATTTCATGAAGTTGCTCTGCCACATCCCTAACTGTGATATCCAAGTAGTTGTATTGTGATATTTTTGTTTCTACTGTACCTTTCATCTCTGTAATGTTTTTATTTTCCTCTTTTTATTATTTTTCTTATCTCCTGGTACTTTCTTTTAGCTAATATATTTCTGTTTTAAAATATGTACAAGGGGATTATGTTTTAGCAATATTACAACTATGTAAGAGTAATTAATTGCTTTCTCAAAACTGTAGCTGTTCTTGAGATTTATGTTTTTCAACTGCCTTTCAGATTTTTATTTCCTTCAATAATTTTCTTTCAAAATATGTGCATGAGCAATGCATAGGCAGGTCATAAAGGATTTTTAGGGAATTGAAACTATTCTAAATGATACTATAACAGGTACATGTCATTATACATTTGTTAAAACCCATGGAATGTACTATACCAAGAATGAACCATAACATAAACTATGGACTTTGTGTGATAATAACATATCATTGTAGGTTTATCAAGTGAAACAAGTGTACCATTATGGTTCAGAATGTCAGTAGTAGGAAAGTCCCTGAATATATTGGGGAAGGAGATATATAAAAACTATTTTGTTCAATTTCTAAAACTAAACTATTCCAAATGAAAGGAAAGTCTTTGAAATAGTAAAGAAAAAAAAAAAAACTGAGTGTTTCTTGATCATTTCTTTATTTACTCTTTTAGAATGAAGTCAACTTTTTTGGAGGGGTACCGGGGATCGAACTCCAGACCTTGTGCTTGCAAGGCAGGCGGCAGAACCACTGAGCTAAATCCCAGGCCCTTGAAGTCAACTATTTGTAGAAAGAGCTGAGAAGTTAGGTGTTCGTGGTAGAGATATTAAGGTCGAGTATATATATCTTTAGTCAAAAATGTATAATTGCCAATTGATCACCTTCAATTTGAGGCACACTTGTTCTCTGGTTGTCACTTCAGTGAATGACACGACATATAGCAAAGCCATTAAGGCACAAGTCTCTATATTGTGACCTTGTAGATCCTCCTTCGTTTCTTCCAGTATCCTCTCCAGCCATTCCATTGGCTAGCAGGGTTTTTGGACAGTCTGTGGCCTCCTGAAATTAAGAGAAAGCAGTTGTTTGGATTTTACGGATGCCTCCCAAGCATCTGGAAACGGGAAACGTGCAGATTCTGTGCTCAGGTGTTGTGTCCACAAACACTGAAACTGAGAACAGAGAATCTTTGGCTTTGCTTTTGTCTTGTATCACCACCACCCCCACATTACCTTTTTCTTTCTCTTTGTTGTTTCTGTAGGACAACCGATGAATAAAAATCTCTTTATTTGATAAATTTTAAATCAAAAATTTCAGTTTGCAATATTTCTTTAAATGGCAATTTGATTAGAAAAGTGTTACTCTTTTTTTTTTTTTTTTTGGTACCGGGGATCAAACTCGGGTCCTTGCGTTTGTGCAGCAGGCGGCAAAACCACTTAGCTAAATCCCTGGCCCAAGCGTCACTCATTTTAACAAAAGCTGTTCTAGTTAAAGTGTGTGTGTGTACTTTGTACAGTATGTATGTCAAAGTAGTAAAGATTTGCTATAGTGAAGCCATAACATGGGCCAGATTAGGGAAAAATATAGATCCCTTGGGTCTGCCTTCTCATAGTGCCTTCTGTTAGTCTATGTTGATGATGTCTTTGAGTTGCTTTATTATCTTGTAATGAACCCTAAGGCAGTTTGCAAATGAATTTTCATCATCATGATATAAACCAAAAATTTCAGACTGCAATATTTTCAGGAAGTCTATCAAGTAAAAAATTTATTAAAAAGATTTTCAATTAAATGATTGAACAAATAAAATTACTTAGATATTGTGACCCTTCAAAGAATCAATTAAATAATTATGTTGTATCCAATGTAGTAAAAAACTAAGGATCTTATTGGTAGAACCAATTTTATTCTCTGTATGAGACAGAGCAAGAGCAAGATTCTAGAACCAGGCTGCTTGAGTTTAGGAGCCATGCATGGTACCTGCTCTTCCCTGTATTTGC